TTTTGCTAATTTGGTTTTAATGCATAATATTTTCCGTCTTTAAAAAGCTACACCTTCTGGTACCTAAATAAAGAAGAATCACGAGGAGGTCACATAGAAACATGCATTTAGAAATGGGAAAAACGATAAAAGTCCATGCTTAATTTGAATTAAAAAACGCTTTCCTGGACATTTATCCCCGTTTTTGGACACTCATCGTTTTTCCCGTGTGCTCTTCAATTATTTCCTATTTCACCGGAAATGGCTGCAACTTTAGATTGTTAAATGACACCTCAGTATTTTTTACTTTATTCGATAGAAAATAACACTCTGAATAGAATGGCATATCACATGTCAACTTTTGACATTTTCGCATATGGTTTATTTGAAATTGTAAAATGCGGTTCAATATGACAATTTGCCTCGAAATACCAAGTGTGTGCTACCAAATTACTAATAAAAAAATGATTTTTTCCAGATTTGCTAATGAGCTACCCTCGTTTCGTTTGAAAAAATTGAGATATGGTTAAAAATACGATTTGGGCATCTCTTAACCGGCCAGGACAAAACACAAAAAAACATTAGGCGATCAAATCTATTTTATTCCAAGGCTGCATGATTAAAAATTAGTGTTTTTAACATAGCCAGGGCACTCTAGATTGAAATTTAAAATAAGATTTTTTTAAGAGAAAATGTCAAAATTTGACAAGTGATATGCCATTCTATTCAGCCTGTCGTTTTCTATCAAATAAAGTAAAAAAATACGAAGGGTGCCCTTTAAAAAAATCAAGTTGTAGTCATTTCCAGCGAAACAGGAAGTGTCCGAAAACAATTGAAAACGTCAAACAATACCAAATCATACCAAATCTCGTTCTTTTATCTGAAAAAATAAAAAAGTTATACTTAAGGGTGAGCCACTTTTGAGACACATCCGGTATACAAGGTTAGTACGTCCTGAAGGAATGTTGCATCTCTCCACATTCCTCGATCCATTTTAGCCACCTCGAGTTGTGGTAATGATAAAGAAAGGTCATTTGGTTGGATCTCACTTGAAGTAGAGGTCCTCCGATAAAAAAACCCATTATTATGTGTCCTGTTCCCCAGAAACAACACACTTTGTTTTGTTTTGATTTGGTTTGGTTATTACCAACTGAGGTAATAACAACTTTAAGTTATTACCAACTTAGAACAAACCTATATTTTTAGCCGACCACCAATAGGTATGGTAGGCTATTAAGATCGGCAAAAAAAAGTTTTTATAATTTCACTCAAAATTAGTTATTTGGGTCATAAATGACCTAAATAAAAAATATTTGCATGGTGTCTGTCTGTCCGTCTGTAACACGATAACTCAAAAACCGCTAAACCGATTTTAACCAAATTTGGCACAAAAATACTGTGGCACCCGAGAATCTGGCCATTAGTGTTTGGTGGGGGTTGGGGGTTGGTAAGGGGGTATGGGAGGGAGTTAAAAATTTTAAAAAATCGTAACTCCAAAATTACAGTAGCTAGCCAAACGCGGTATAATATTTGCAACAAAATTTGTAATAACATCAAAATCAGTCAAGTCGCAGTTTTTGAGATAAAAAAAAAACTGGAAAAATTCCTTTACTTTGAAACTAAAAGAACTGCCTACCAACTTTTTATTAACATATTTTAGTATGGGCGGCTATACGTGCCCCCCGGCGCCAATTTTTTTATCTAGTTTTATTATACTGAAATGCCTACTTCCTTAAAAGGAGGAAATTTTTTCGAATCTCGCAGAGAATTACCTCTATTGTTTGGCTTTTTTATTTTACTATTTATCTAGATAATAATACACATCGCCCGCTACAGGAAATATTAAAATATCTAAACAGCCCTGGGAATTGTTATAATAAATTATTGTTGTGCCTCGAGAAAATCACGAATCAAACTAATCAGTATTAATATTAATAGAAAAACATTAATAGTTGTATTTGAAATATATGTTTTTATTTAAAGTAATTTTTTAATGAATATATTTTTATTTTATTTTGGTCATCTTTATAGACGTTACTCAATTATCACAATTATTAGACTTTTCTACTGAATTGTTTGTTTGAGTTGAAAAAATCCGCTATTAGTAATTTCATTCCATTTGAGTGAAATGTATTGCATAAATATTTTCTAAAAATTACCAAATTTTATGACTATTTGCCAAATTTTGGCGACCCTGTCCTAGTTCCTAATTACTCAAGGGTGAAATTATAATTTAAACATTGTACTAAATACACTAATTACATTAAATAAGATTGCAACTAAATGGCTTTCCTTGTCAAATGATTTTTGGCAACAAAAAGGAGGCATTAACTAATTTAACGAAATTCGTTTTCGATTTTTTTTTGGTCTTAAAAAGAGAACGAACTTGTTGCATAAAAAGTTTTTTTTTATTTTCCGAAAAATACCAAGAAAAATGTAAAATCTTCAACAATTTTTCTCTCAAAATATTCTTACCCTTGATATATAATCCTCCTCCTGGAAAACTAAATTACTAAATTTTACATTTAAAAGAGTGGCAAAATAATAATGACCGATAAGTAAAACTCATAAAACACTTAACAGTTCATTAACTTCTTAAACTCGTATAACGTTCTGGAAATAATAACAAAAAAAAAGACAATTGCAGACACAATTGGAATTGTATTATGAATTGTCACTGTCAAATATTTTTAACAAATCACAAGCGATTCATTTCATAGATAAAGGAAACAAGCTTAGATTGGAATATGTGAAAACTTTATAATTATTTTGTAGCGTCTACGTTTTAGGACGCTGCTATAGCGGTTGCTAAGAACAACTGCAAACAAGAACAGAAGTAATTTTCTCTTGTCAAAGTCAGAATCTTCAAAAATTATAAAATCTAGCAAAATTTAAACCGCCCTCATTAAAAAAAATACAGAAAAGTGTTTAAAGCGTCCACTTTCAAAGTAATTATTGTTATCTCGTGAGTTGAATTTAAATTTTACATACTCAAACCCGTGATCATTGTGAAAAAGTGGCATTAAAAACTTAAAAAGCTGTGTGAACTGTGAACTGCAAAAACCATCGTGGATCGTGGCATAACGTCGGTTTCCAATGTTTCATAGATATTTCATACATGCCCTTATACAAAATAAAGTTTCTTATATGCAACACACTGTATTTTATTTAAAAAATTAAAAGAAAATAATAATAAATTTGAATGAACAATATTTGGCGACATAATTCCGGAAAAAGTCGAACCACTCCGATTTTTTCAAAAGCTTTGGAGAGCGACCGTTGTAAGAACAGGGCCCATTTGGCATTGTATTTACATTGTTCTTATGGACACTTTCAAATCTAAACTTATTTCTTTTATCAACGATTCATCTTATCCGATTAACGGAGGAAGGAGAACTAACCAATCAAAGTGGCTAATGAATCCATGGAATTCGAGCATAAACCGGAGTAGACGAGCAATAGGATTACAATCCAGACGATGCAGTTAGTTGATTATTATAAAAAGTAATGTGATAAATCTATCGAAAATTATAATTGCTTAAGATTTAGTGGTTTTACTCTACAAGTAGTAGTTTACTCTAGTTACTCTCTAGTAGTAGTTTAAGTAGAGAATTATAGTTTTGGTTATTTAAAAAGTGCTCATTTAAAAGAGTTTTAACAGAACGGGCTTTACAGACGTATTTGTTGAAAAAAAAAATTAAAAATGTTCTTGAATAGTTGTATTTAGATATTTTAAATTTTCTTTGTGTTTTTTTGCTTCTGACGACGGGAACTTCTGAACTTCCCGAAACGTTAAGCATTTTTAAGTCCGTTAGGCAAATTTGTTTACTAGTAAATCACTGCTGACAAAAGCAGTGACTACAAAAAATAACTATTTTATTTTGTAGATTTTCTTACAGTGCAAATGGCGAAATACCCATAAGACTTTTTTGAAGAGTTAAAAGAGTTTGTTTAAATTAGGGAATGCAATGCGGGATCCCTCTGTGATTCCGCGGGATCAAAGTTGCGGGATTTGCTGATTCGACACCAGGGGATTCCCCTTACGGCTTGGCCATTAAAAATAAGTGAAACAAACAGGTTAATTGTTAGGTTTCTTTCTGGCGTGCCTAAGTGAAGAAAAGCGTTTAACTAGTACTTGTGGACAATTACATCAAATAAACTGCCGGACATAATTATCGGGACAAGCAAAATTTTAGGGTAAATTTAAAGTTGAATTTATCTTGAACTAAAAAATATTTTGGGATGCGGTTTAGACCAGGGTTTAGATGTGCATGTACATACATGTGTAATGTGTTTGTACATTCTGCATATGCCAAAAAATTATTTATGATATAGAGTGTATCTGAAAGCAGATAACTAACACAAGTCAAAAAAAACTTCAACATCAGAATAATATTTTTATTTATAAAATAAGTAGATAAATTATAATAAAAGTTAAGTTTATTTAATATTAAATATATTTTTTGAACACCCTGTATACATCGGTCCAAATTTCTGTACAGATAGTTTAAGATATACGCTATATCAATATATTGTGGGCCTATGCAAAATGTACAATGCATTTTGTACCATTTAGGACCAAATGCATGACTATAAATGCATATTTTTCGAAAAAAAAACGTATTTTCCTTAAAACAAAAAAATTAAAAAAAAAACACCAAATTGTCTTTTCTAATTTCAATACAGATTAGTCGTACATAGTTAAAATTTCGATTTTTCAAAAATTGTAAATTTTCGGTAAAAAAGATTCTTGACCAAATTTGTACACTAATATAAAGCACCCTGTATATGAAAATTCGCTAAATATATTTTCGAAAACCACATAGCATCTTAATCACATTAGATGCGTCTAAAACCTGGTCCAAACCGCATCCCAAAATTGGAGAGAAAAAAGAAGAGCATTTATTGTTTACAATCCCGCAATTTTGCGGATCCGCGGGATTGATTGCTTTAATCCCGCGGGTTTGTGGGATTGAGATTTTGGTGCGGGATTGCATTCCCTAGTTTAAATGCATCCTTACCTGTAACGAAATTATATTTCCCGACTTCTCCAACCAATTTCCACTCAGTAGGGCGGCGAAGTACTGGCACCTGGAGGCTAGAATGCACTTGTGCGCTTTCAGTTTATGTCCTTCGACCTCCACGACGACATCAGGCCCTATCTCCTCAAGGAACATACGCAAAAGGTCGGTTCCCAGGCGGCGAACAGCTTTTTTTGGTTGCGAGGTACTGTAAAGAGAAGACCAATTAGTATTTATATATTTTTCAAAGGTATAACATACAGAGTGGCGCTTCAGATACGACGCGGAGGCTCCAAGGAGAACGACAGTTTTTATTGAAAAAAATACATTTGTGTAGAGCAGTAAATTTCCTACAAAATCATGAATTGCGCGTATTATAATGATTTTTTGTCAACGAGTATTAAAATTCATAAGAAAAAATTGGCGCCGGGAGGCACGTATAGCCGCCCATACTAAAATATGTTAATAAAAAGTTGGTAGGCAGTTTTTTTAGTTTCAAAGTAAAGGAATTTTTCCAATTTTTTAGCCGACCATACCAATAGGTATGGTATGCTATTAGGATCGGCAAAAAAAAGTTTTTTTAATTTCACCCAAAATGAGTTATTTGGGTCATAAATGACCTAAATACAAAATATTTTCGTGGTGTCTGTCTGTCCGTCTGTAACACGATAACTCAAAAACCGCTGAACCGATTTTCACCAAATTTGGCACAAAAATACTGTGGCACCCGAGAATCTGGCCATTAGTTTTTGGTGGGGGTGGGGGGTTGGTAAGGGGGTATAGGAGGCGGTTAAAAATTTTAAAAAATCGTAACTCCAAAATTACAGTAGCTCGCGAAACGCGGTTTTCAAATTAAGATTAGGAATAATATTTGCAACAAAATTTGTAATAACATCAAAATGAAAGTCGCAGTTTTCGAGATATTAACATATTTTAGTATGGGCGGCTATACGTGCCTCCCCGCGCCAATTTTTTTTATTTCAAAAACTGCGACTTTGATTGATTTTCATGTTATTACAAATTTTGTTACAAATATTATTCCTAATCTTAAATTGAAAACCGCGTTTCACTAGCTACTGTAATTTTGGAGTTACGATTTTTTAAAATTTTTAACCCCTTCCTATACCCCCTTACTAACCCCCCACCCCCACCAAAAACTAATGGCCAGATTCTCGGGTGCCACAGTATTTTTGTGCCAAATTTGGTTAAAATCGGTTTAGCGGTTTTTGAGTTATCGTGTTACAGACGGACAGACGGACAGACAGATAGACAGACACCATGAAAATATTTTGTATTTACATAGGTCATTTATGACCCAAACAACTCATTTTGAGTGAAATTAAAAAAACTTTTTTTTGCCGATCTTAATAGCCTACCATACCTATAGGTATGGTCGGCCCAAAAGAAATCTGTGAGATTTACAAAAAAAAATTGTAAAGGTGCGCACACTGACCAGAGCTGCACGCGCCGCATCGACCGAAGAAAAATATTGTTTGCGTTACTTTCAATGAAGGTGCGCACACTAGCCAGAGCCGCACGAATCGCATCGACGAAAATACGGCCAGCATTGGTGGGCCAGAACAATGAGGTTATATACCCCTTATAATCTCATTGAGCCAGAATGATTTTCGGTAAATGCGGCTAGTGCTGCTGACGTTACACGCAATTCCTTCCACTCTACGTAGCGTAGGTAGCCGAAGAGGAGACTAGAAATTCAATATGCTAAGAAAGTTCGCAAATTTTTCATGGCTCATATTGAAATATTGAAAAATTTTTAGTTCTTCCTCAATTAAATATGGAAATAATGTGGATTTTTGCTAATATTGTGAACCTATAACTTTCGATTCTTTCTCGTGATTTCTTCTTCTTCTATTAGCAAGGGGCTTTTAATTATTTCTTGTTCGTTGTAATTTATTGTCGAGAAATATTAAAAAACACGCTTATCACCGCAGACGGGACTCCGGAAGCGACTGATGAGAAATTCGATTGGCAAATACGGGTGTAGTAGGGGCAAAAAGAAACAAAATAGCGAATAATGCGGCGCGTTCGGTACGGCTTAGTGTGCGCGACAAGAAAAAAAAGTGCGATTCGGGCGGCGCGTGCGGCGAGTGCGGCTCTGGTCAATGTTCGCGTACCTTAAGAGATCTTTTTTGTAGAGAATTCAATTTTCTACAAATATATGAGGTTACTACGAGATATTTTTCCCAAATAGTAGATACCGAGATATGAATTTTTCTTTGTAATAATAAGGAAAAAATAGAAAACGGTAAGGCGGAGGACCTTCCTATTAAAAATAAAAGCTCATACTTGAAGAGAATTTTTGGATTTAGGTACATAATCATAATACACATAATGTACTTAAATTCAACAAATTCCGAATTATAAAGTTTTGATTTTGAAATGTTAAACGAAAATTTTGTAATTTCCAGACTTGATACAATCTCATTTTATACGTCTATAGATGGTAACTTGAAAACTAATGTCAAATATTATTAAGCATCACAGTTTCCGCAGAATGGCAACGTTAAATGAAACCGAACACATCGAAATTAATTAAATCGAATTAAGTGATATTTGCAAAAGTCAATAGGTAACTCGGAAACGGTTGGTTTGAGGTACATTGTATTATTTCGATTTTTACTTAAAATTGAAGGAAGAACCGAAATATGGCAATAATATACAGGGTATTCCATTTAAAAAAATGAAACTTTGACGTGCCACGACTTTATGACCGACCCTGTATACTTAAATTTATTACCCGCTAATGGATACTTAAAAACCCTATAACTTTTTTATTTAACTTTTTTGCGGTACCTTGTATATTTTACCTAATAATCGACCGTTCCCATACATATCAGCGACCCTGTATTTTAAATTAAAAGTCGATTATTTGTCGCCCATATCACCTCATCGTAAAATAAATGTGTAATCTTGTTGCATAATAATGAGTAGTATTTATTTATCCACAGGATGGGAATTCTAGTATCCCTCGATTTTACAGCGTTCTTCATTTCCGGCCGAAGCATACTATTTGCATTTCTAACAGAATCGGCGTTTCTGTGTTTTTTTCAACGTTGACTTTCCCATCGAAATATGCACACTGCAATAACATATTCATATTCCTTAGTTGCTCATTTCCTTATGCAACAAAATAGTTCTGTTGCATCTTTAAATATGTAATAATTATTATATTTCGTTGATGGGAAAAAATTGTTGAGTATTAAAATGTAAAATTGCTTTAATTTTTTTTTAAATATCTTCTTTAATACAGAGTGGTGCGAACTGTATTCCGGAAACTTCGGCAGCATATTCTGCATATAAAAATAAGTAAAAAAGTTCGTATAAATATATGTCCTAAAATGCTTAGTTTCGTAGATACAGGGTGTAGAAGTTTCATTTTTATTTCGATTTTTTTCAAATAATTTCTAAAGTAACGTCAATATTTCGATGAAAATTGGTGTCTGGGAGTTTTTTGATATGAGAAATTTGATTTTAATGTCAATATGACTCCTATTTGTAGGAGGCGCCGCGCCACCTACATGTGTTTTAACCTTTTAATAAAAAGTTTTAACTGTTTTGAAGAGTAATAACTTTTCGTCCGTACCTATAAAACCTACCGAGTAAAAAAATATACATTTACGACGTTTTTTACGTAAAAAAGGTATCTTGGTAAAAATCGCTACGAGTAATGGTTCTCGAGATATTTGAAATTGAAATTATCAATATCTGTCACCACTGACATAAATTAAACATGTTGCCTAAATAGTTATTAGACCGAAATCATAAATTAGAAATGTTTTTGTGCCAAAAGTTCAACAGACACTGTTTTATCATCATTTTTCCGCAGAAAAATTTATGATTAATTTTAAAAAATCAAAATTTCCCAAATTTATTATTTCAGTGGAATAACTATCTAGTCAACTTGCGTTTATTTTTTGTCAATAATGACATGATTTCCATTCGAAATATCTTGGGAACGGTTGCTCCTAGCGATTTTGACCAAGAGACATTTTTTACGTAAAAAGTCACGAAAATATATATTTTTTAATTCAGTAGTTTTATACAAGTACGGACGAGAAAAGTTATTACTCTTCAAAACAGTTAAAACACATGTATATAGGAGTCATATTGACATCAAAATCAAATTGCTTATGTCAAAAAAACTTCCAGACACCAATTTTCATTCAAATATTGACGTTACTTCAGAAATTATTTGGAAAAAATCGAAATAAAAATGACATTTCTACACCCTGTATCTCCGAAACTAAGCATTTTAGAACGTACATTTATACTTTTTTACTTATTTTTATCTGCAGAATATACCGCCAAAGTCTCCGGAGTACACTTCGGAAAACGCTGCCATGGATATGTTGAACAGGGGCGCTAAGACACATCCGTGCCTGTGTCCGTGCCTTACTTCTGTATTTTCTACATTATCTCCCGGTATTTTTTATATTTCTTTTGGTAAAGGGATTCGCTTTTAGGTGGTACTACTACTTAGGTGATACTACTTGTCGCGCTTTTTCAGCTTTTTTTTTTAATATTTCCTCCATTTTAATGGAAACGTACTCGAACGTGTGCCGAATTAGTGCGAAAGGCGTTTTTTGACAAAACAACTGAACTCGATTGACAACAATCGTCAATTTATAAACAGGTCATTCAATACAATAGTAATCTGGCTACAAATAAAGTTCCTACCAGCAGCGTTATTACAAATATACCGGAAGATTAATAAAACCAACATTTTATCTCGTTTTAAAACGGGACAAAATACGAGTCAATTCAGTAAGAATTAAAATTAACAAATGTACCATCGGAATTATAAGGTGTTAATAACCTCGGGCAATTTTTATAATTCAACGGGCAAACCTCTATAATTCCCGAGATAATTCCCTGATACATAAATAACTATTGACTAATAGTTTTTTTAAGTGAAACTATTATAGGGATATTAGATGTTTATGGAGAATTACTTGTAATAAAATTCTAATTTTTTTGGTCATGCCTTGTTGCCAGATCTACTAATAGCTATTTTTGCCCCAACCTTTCGCTAATCATCCTACTAAATCAGAGCAAAATTCTTACTAGAATCTTACTAAATCTCCAAAATTTCAAAAAACTCAATTTTATTAAATAAAAAAAACAGCAAAACAGGAAACCATTGATCAAGGGGGGTTTTAGAGGGCGATACAACCCTGAAAACACCCCTTGCGTGCGCCATTGTTTTCAAATAAACCTCTAATAAGATATATTATCATTATACTACACGTTGTGGGATAGCCTTGTACACCGCGATGATTCGATTTTAAATCTGATTTGCGTCAGTAGATATCCATTTACGTGATAAAAATCAGTAAAAAGAAGATTGTAATTCATTTTCCTATAGCCAGCGAGTATGGGGCACCGCCCACATTGTTCCTTACAATATATTTTGATTAAGTTGCTTCATAAATATGGTTTCCTGCTTGATTATACCAAAACTAAGAAAAAAAAATACAATATACTATGGGCCATGTGTTGGCCAAATAAAGGTTTCTGCGACGCAAAATATTCTTTATTTTTGGTCAGATACTAGTGGAAAAAAAATGATTGGAAATTTCGATATACAGGGTGGTCCGAACCATAGGTCCGAACTGTATTCCGGAAACTTCGGCAGCATATTCTGTAGATAAAAATAAATAAAAAAGTTCGTATAAATGTATGTCCTAAAATCGTTAGTTTCGGAGCTACAGAGTGTAGAAGTTTCATTTTTATTTCGATTTTATCCAAATAAATTCTGAAGTAACGTAACGGAAAAACGTATTTGGAAAAAATCGAAATAAATATGAAACTTCTACATCCTGTATCTCCGAAATTAAGCATTTTAGGACATACATTTATACGAACTTTTTTACTTATTTTTATCTGTAGGATGTGCTGCCGAAGTTTCCGGAATACAGTTCGGACCACCCTGTATACATTATTTATTAAGATCTTGTTGTATTTAGATTCCCACTTTAATTTACTGCTATAGATACATACATTGAAGGAATAAAAACATAATCAATTTAAATTATATGCGAATATAATTTGCATGCGGTGCATGTCATAAATATTTCATACGATTTGTACACAAATCGCTCAATTATTTGAACGCTCGCCAAAATTTTGACGACCTTGTTCCTGATTCCAGCTGCTCTTAGATTAAGTTATGTTTACTACTGTTTCTATTAATAAAATACCGAAAATATCAGTCGACAGGTAAAGCTGTCACCATTCTCATCACGACAACTGTAATTAGTACAAAATCTCCCAAAGCTTAAAAATCCAGGTCCGTATTTAAGAAAATAAAGTTGATGATGGTATCTCGTTAATGAAACGTCAGATTTAAAATTTAATTTATGTGTGACTTACAAAAAAGGAAAAAGTAACAATGACGAAGTGACATTTACTTTAAAATATATTTCAAATAAAACCAGGACAGATTAAAAACTATTTTAAAATATTTCATTTCCTTCCGAATATCTTCGAATGTATTCGGATATTTTTTAATTCGCAATACGGCATTTTATTGGCCATATAATTACGCAACTTTACCATAATTTGAGCTTCTTCGTATATCTCTTATGGATTCCAGGTCACCCTCGAAACCCAAACCAAACCTAACACCCTGTATATGATCTACAGTATGTCCCGGATTGTCTTTACAAGAGGGAAAACTTTTTTATTATTGACATTTTGAGAAAAATGCATTCTTCACAAAAATTTTTGCTTGTCCTAAAATGGTTAAGCTGTTTATAGTTCTCTCCAAATTTGTATACCGTTTTAGAGAAAATTGAAAAAAACATGAAAATATGGTTGATTTTTTTCCTAAAAATCAAAACACGTTTCTATGGTAATATAATTTCGTTTTAACTCTTTTAATGTCATATTTTTTTTGTTCAATGTACCGGGTGGCCAACTAAGAATGGACGCCGGCTGTATCTCAGAAACTACTTTTCGTATAACTTTGGGAAAAAAATTCTAATAAGTAAATCGACCAAGAGAAATCGCCGAAAATTATTTTCAAGTTCGAAAATTGTCCGCTAGGGGGCGTTTCTCTGATAGCCAATCAGAAAACAGGGTTTTTCTCAAAAATATGCAGGTGAACAGGTATTTTAAATATTACTATTGTAATCATCGAGAAATTTGTAATTTTTTTGATATAGAGTATTTTGCTCTATCTCATAAAATAAAGTGGTGGGGTAAGGTTAAACTTGCTTTTATTAAAATAAGGATAACTCTGGTTTAGGTTAGCCGATTTAAACAAACTAGGGCTCGTTTGAAAGAGTTTTTCTTCCTTAATGATCTCCAGTATAAATGTTGTTTCCATAAACTTTTTCGTGGTAGCTAGAGGGCGCTGTTTGACATCATAACAGGTATTGCGCTTTTGCATACAAAAATTAAATAGCTATATTTCTCTTTGCACAGTTAAATAGAGCACAAAATTTCCAAAAAATCAGCGCAAACCGCAACTTTCTATCTTCTCTCTAACCGGAGATATTAAGAGATCAAATCATGTTAGGCTGCCGCTTAGGATTATATTGTCTAAAAATTATACTAGTAGGCTAGGAAACAAAAAGAGGTAAATTGGTTACGTCAAAATATCAAAACATATATTTTAATTTCATTTTAATACCATTTAATTGTTATTTATTCACGTTCGTTCTTGATTCGACCCCATAAATTAAAACCCAGGCATATTGAATCCGATGACCTAGCTGGCCATGGAAATATGCCGCTCCAGCGTCTCTATCTACTAAAGTAAGTGGTATCCAAGAAGCCCCACACACTCATAGCACAATAAGTGGCACAACTGCACCAACTGCATTCATGCTGATGAAATTGCAAAGCGATTGAATCATGATTGATCCTCTAACAAAATTGGCAATTCATCTCTTAGAAATTATGGATAATTCATTTCATTCAGATAATTAACAAAGTCCAATCATTTCATTAGAATTCCTGCCTAAACATTTACCGACCAACGGTCTTGGTGCTGAACTACTTACATCAAGGGTAGATTAGGACCAGTGGTGCATGTTGATAAGATTCGCACTTTAATTGCTATATTAAAAGTGACGATCAAAAAAAAACGACCATAAACTTAATAATAAAATAATAAATAACACAAACAGCAGGTAAAATACGAAAACAAGTGTAATCAAGGACGAATTTGGATTAATAACTAAATGATGTTACATGAAATAAACCCCTAGTTTTCGACCATACGAAATTTGGCCCTTTTCTGTTAAAAGCAATATGGCGGCAAACATTCCTAGAAATTTTAATAAAATTATCGATTGTCCGACTTTCGGACATTTTAATCTGAGAACTACATACGTATAATTAACCAAGAAATTCGTAAAAATTATATGGATGGACGATAATGTTACATAAACACGTTTAAAAATTTATGACGTCATTTTTTTTAAGAAAACGCCCGAAATTCGGATGCAAGAACACTGAACTTAAACGTTTTGATATTTTGACGTAACCAATTTACCTCTTTTTGTTTCCTAGCCTACTAGTATAATTTTTAGACCATATAATCCTAAGCGGCAGCCTAACATGATTTGTTCTCTTAATATCTCCGGTTAGAGAGAAGATAGAAAGTTGCGGTTTACGCTGATTTTTTGGAAATTTTGTGCTCTATTTAACTGTGCAAAGAGAAATATAGCCTCCTATTTAATTTTTTTATGAAAAAGCGCAATATCTGTTATGATGTCAAACAGCACCCTCTAGCTACCACGAAAAAATTTGTGGAAACAACACATTTATACTGGAGATCATTAAGGAAGAAAAGCTCTTTCAAACGAGCCCTAGTTTGTTTAAATCGGCTAACCTAAACCAGAGTTATCCTTATTTTAATAAAAGCAAGTTTAACCTTCCCCCACCACTTTATTTTATGAGATAGAGCAAAATACTCTATATCAAAAAAATTACAAATTTCTCGATGATTACAATAGTAATATTTAAAATACCTGTTCACCTGCATATTTTTGAGAAAAACCGTGTTTTCTGATTGGCTATCAGAGAAACGCCCCCTAGCGGACAATTTTCGAACTTGAAAATAATTTTCAGCGATTTCTCTTGGTCGATTTACTTATTAGATTTTTTTTCTCAAAGTTATACGAAAAGTAGTTTCTGAGATACAGCCGGCGTCCATTCTTAGTTGGCCACCCGGTACGGAGAGGGTGATAATAGTTATCGGAAAATGTGATACTTTAACAACACCAAAAAATATGACGTTAATCAAAATTAACAATAACCATCTATCAAAGAATGAAATCGAAATTATATTACCATAGAAACGCCTTTTAATTTTTAGGAACTAGAAGCTAAAAAGGTTTTTAAATTTTAGGGTAAAAAAATTGGCGCCGAGAGGCACGTATAGTCGCCCATACCAAAATATGTTAATAAAAAGTTGGTAGGCAGTTCTTTTAGTTTCAAAGAAAAGGACTTTTTCCGAGACTTGTTCCAATTTTTTTTGTTGCAAATATTATTCCTAATCTTAAATTGAAAACCACGTTTCGCTAGGTACTGTAATTTTGGATATACGATTTTTTAAAAATTGTAACCCCTCCCATACCCCCTTACCAACCCCCCCATCCCCACTAAAAACTAATGGCCAGATTCTCGGGTGCCACAGTATTTTTGTGCCAAATTTGGTTAAAATCGGTTTAGCGGTTTTTGAGTTATCGGAGTGTATATGAGTGTTACAGACAGACGGACAGACAGACAGACACCATGAAAATATTTTGTATTTAGGTCATTTATGACCCAAATAACTCATTTTGAGTGAAATTAAAAAAACTTTTTTTTTGCCGATCTTAATAGCCTACTAGCCTGTTGGTATGGTCGGCTAAAAATCAACCATATTTTCACGTTTTTTTTTAATTCTCTCTAAAACGGTATGGAAATTTAGAGAAGTATAAAAGGGATTAATCATTTTAGAACAAGCAAAACTGTTTATGAAGAATGCATTTTTCTCAAAATGTCAATAATAAAAAAAAATCCGCTTGGAAAGACAATCCGGGAACATACTGTATATGTATAAGATTTTTCCGAGGATTTTTCAACAATTCCCAAAATACGTACCTGGAATTGGTGATGGCGCTTTCGGTATCCGAGCCGTTCTCCGCTATGGGGGGTTCCGGCTCGATGGGATGGGGGGCGCTCCGGTAGCAAGCGGAGCGCGACATGAGGAAGGGGCTCTCCACCCAGTGGCTCTCGGGGATGGAGCGGCTCATGCGGGGCGCGAAGCTCACCTCCACCCGCGCCTTCTGGCACTCCATCATGTCGGACAGTTTGACGAACTGCGGACATGCCTGAAACAATATATCAAAACATTATATTCCAAATAAATGTCTATACAGAAAAAAATAAAATAGTGGCTCACCCCTATGACTTTTTTAGATGCAAACGAAATTTAGTATGGTGGTGTATGATATAAATCGGCATCGATTGACGTACTTATTTAATTTCAATATTCAATTACTTTCGGTCACTTCCTGTTTCGCCGGAAAAACTTTTGATTTTTAAATAGTACACTCAGTATTTTTTTACTTTCTTTTATAGAAAATGACAATCTGAATAGAATGATATCATATGTCAACTTCTGACATATGATTAAAAAAAATAGCATTAATTTATATTTGTTAAAACCATTAATTTTTAATCAAGAAGTTTTGGAAAAATAAATTTGATCGTATAATATTTTTAGTGTCTTTTCCTGGTCGATTAAAAGATGCCCAAATTGTATTTTTAATCATAACTCAATTTTTTAAATGGACCGAGGATGGCTCATTAGCATATTTGGCAAAGGCATTTTTTACGAATAATTTGGTACCAATACTTGATATTTCAAGTCGTTGTACTGTATGATAAAAAAAACGGCGTCAGAGATGGTTATGAAATGAAGATTGCTGTAATTTAATATGTAAAATTATATAGGGAATCTTATCGATATTCATTTCCAAGCCAACTGGACGCCGTTTTTTCTCGATCATATTATGGTATTATGTCTGTAACTGTCATTACATTTACTGCCGTGACACTCTAAATTGAAATTTAAAGAGCTAATGAAGAAAAGACTATATAAGTAACAATGTCAAAAGTTGACATATGACATGTCATTGGGTTCAGTTCAGAACGCCATTTTCCATCAAATAAAGTAAAAAACTACCGACCGTACTATTTAGAAATCAAAAGTTAGCTTGTGAGTAGTCATTTTCGGCGACCGAAACTAATATTGAATACGGTAACCAATCCTCATTTATGTCATATATTAATATACCAAATCTTCTTTTTTATATTATAAAAAAAGTTATAGGGGTGAGCCAGTTTTGAAAAACACTCGGTATAAAACAGAATTGTAATAAATAAAAAGTTATTTTTTGTGAAACCAACTGTCTGTGGCTTTGGAATTCCATTTAAAATAATTATTCAAATTCGCTCACACTTTTTTGAACCACCCTGTAGAAGTGAAAATATTCTCCTAAAATACATCCAATACATATATTAGGCAAAACAGATGCCTGACACACTGTTGCAAAACCCTCTACAGTACAGAAAATATACTTGAACCGAAATATTATGACAAAACAAAAATAATATAACCAAAACTCAACTTCAATCATTCTAAATCATTTGGTCATCAGTCATTCTCACCACAAGATTTAAAAAAACTAAAAAAAAAACATGCCTTTATAGCAGATCGAACTGAAAAGTGAATTAATAACTTTTTAAATATCAAGATATATGTACAACAGCGATAGAAAGACAACAAAACAACTCACTGCTAATAAAATTTAATCATTTTCAGAGAGCTAAAATAATACTACAGAGTGTAGAGCGTACATGAGTAGCTATTTCTAAAACTTGAGTTAATATAAAAATAATAATATAAAAAAAATACACGACGTCTTTTTGTATATTTTTTTGGCCTTTCCAGCAACGACTCCGCCACTGTTATATTTAACCCCAAAGGTCCCCTTTTAGTCCCTGTTGTACTAGATAAAAGGCGGATGTATGTATAACAGGTAGGGACTATTCGAATTGTTAGGCAGGTGTAAATTTTACTTGTAAACTTATTTCTGTCCACTATATCCAACAAATAGATTATTTTTGCATGCAGAGTTGTTTGAGGTCGGGACTACACATACGTATATGAACAGTATCAAAAACGGTAACAGGTAACAACAGATAATCTAAAAAAAAAGAAACCAAAATAATCTAGCGAGAAAGTCATAATACTTGCATTGTTGTGCCAAAATTAGTCGACTCGTACTCATTTCGTGATTCCCTTTTATAACATCAATCAAAAAACGAGGTGCCGAAAATAAGCTCCAGTAAATTATACCGTATGATATAAAAAAGCGTGAAATCACACACACATTTTTTCGGTATATGTCAGACGATTCTAAAGTAACTTCATGTTGTTTTTTAGATCATACTGTACAGGGTGGGCCAAATTCGACGCTTTTAAAAGAAAACATCCTTTTCTGTAGGAGATAAACGAACTAATATTGGTGTCTAAGCTCATTTTTATCAAAAACGTGATGGTGAAAACCGCACATCGATATCTGTTACCGTTTGGAGTTACGGGGTGTTTTTCAAAAATGCACATTTTTAACAAATCGCTGTAACTTTTTTGCTATGAAAAATTTTGTATTTTTTTGAAAACATTTCTAAAGCACCTTTTTACGTAGAATTTAATGGTTTAAGTATAATTTTTTTAAAATTAAAAGTTATCAACAGAAAATTTGATTTTTTTATATGGGACACCCTGTATATTTTTAATTCATTGAAAAGAATTTAAAATTACCTTTCCAAAGATATAGCACACTTGACATTTTGCTCGATTCTTCCTGAAGATATAGAGTTTTTAAAAATTCGCCCACTTTGAATACAATAAGTACCTAGGGTTTGAACGGCGCCAGATGTAATACAAAAAAATTCTAGCCTGTGAGCAGCAATTAAAACGAAAATAATATTTGCAATGAGAGATGCAGAATTTTATAACAATTTAAACTATATTTAACAACATCAACACATCCTAACTATATCTAATAACAATAAAAATTAATAGCAAACCAAGACTTTTGCTACAAGTGTTCCACATGTCGACCGTCTTCTGTTATGGACAGACAAGACCGTTTTTGAACATTTCTCGCGGAATTCATTAACTCGGTGGGGGTGAAACATACCCTCGCAAAACCGCAAGTACTTTTAATTCTTGTCTAAATTATACGGGAAATTTAAAAATAAGAACTTTTATTCTTCCGCAAAGATAAAAATCAATCACTAAGTCGGGCGGCCTCGACGGCCAACGGCTGGGATCTTGGTTAGTTATTCAATTATTCTCGAAATTGGCTGCAAAAAATTGCATGATTCATTCGACTTCAGCGTTCTGTGGCGGTGCCTCGTCTTGCTAGAAAAATATGTTTTCCAGAGAAAGAGAGTTCCATTGATCATCAATAAGGTGTCCAAAGCCTACTAGTTAAACGTGGCGAACTTTTAAAAATTCTGTATTTCGAAGGGGACTACCTATAACAATATATTATCAAATGTGCTATATTTTTGGTTCTTTAAGGTAAATGTAATTAATAATAATATTAATAAATAAATAAAAATAATAATAAAATAATTAAGGTTCTGTGGTAATTGCAAGTTCTTCTCAATTAATTAAAAATAAACAGGGGATCCGAGATAAAAAATTAATTTTTCTGTTGATAACTCTTATGTTATTAATTTTAAAAAAATATACTTAGAAAACTTACATAAAAATACAAAATTTACCATAGTAAAAAAGTTACAGCGATTTGTTAAAAATGCACATTTATGAAAAACATCCGATGTGCGTTTTTCACCAGCATGTTTTTGATAAAAGTTGAGCTCCAGACACCGATATTAGATTTCGTATATCGTTTCGATCTCCTATAGAAAAGGGTGTTTCCCTTTAAAAGCGTCCAACTTTATCCACCCTGTACACATAATTAATATTACTTGAATGATAACCCGGAATGCTAGTAAGCGTTCCTAGTGTTAATGAAAATTAGTGCTGCTCAAAAAATAATCATTTAAAAATTATATATAAAATATACAGGGTGACTTAAATTCGAACCAAATTTCATAGTTCTAGGTCAACGGAAAATACCCTATACATTTTTTGAGCTATAAATGGCCGTATCTTTTTTTAGGTTAACTTAGAAGTTTGAATTTTCACAGCTTCAAGGGACTGTAGACCTGAGTACAAGCCTGAATATATGGTTTTAATTTCAACGTGATACCTCCACGCGTTCCCGAGATAAAGGGTCTTGACAGACAGACACATAGACAAAATAGTGAGCCTATAAGGGTTCCGTTTTTTCCTATTGAGGTACGGTTTGGTTTGGTTTGGAACAGAACAAGAACAAGTAAATCCAAAGAGTAAAAAAATAATAATAACGAGAACACTAAATCATTATTTAATCTTTGACATACCGATTAACTCAAGTACTTACAATAAAATACTTTTTCTAAAACACACAATTTTAAATTTCTTAAGTGTTTTGATTTAATGGTGTTATTCCCAGAAGATTACGATCAATACCAAGTTAATTTGTCGTAACAAAAAAAAGTCTCGCCATACATGACAGGTATTTAATCACTGTTTATACAGGAATATTTATTAGAACAAAAAACTAATAACTAATCGGTACGATCGATTTTTTTTCCAGGTCAGACACCTGCGGGTCCACGACCTGCCGCCTACTTCTGCGAACCACTAGGCTAAAATTTCGATGTAGTGCGGTTCATTGTTAGCACACGCGACTTACGACAAAAACTAATTGAACATGAAAACGATACCCCACAAAATTAAAGATTAAGAAAACTAGGCTGTATTTTTAAACTTATAGGTCGACCCTAGGTCAATATCTACCTAGTTACAAAATCTCTCAACCTTCAGCTTCAACCTAAAAGAAAATAGAGCAATACAAGTAGAATAAGTCAATTGTAGAATAAATAATAAACAACATAAAATCAGCAAGCACAGAAAAGCACAATAAATCCGCAAATTTTCAGATTTCAAAAGTTCAAATGCGTCAATTAAAACGTCAAACAGATAACAGTTAAAAATGGGTGTTCAAGATGCCCCTATTGTCTGTAAAGGGACGTCCATAGTGCACCGGCTTTCCGGTGCTTGGCTTATCTCAAAGAAAGTCTCATCGCTTTATGAACTTCCGCAATTGAAGTAGGTAGTGGCCATTAATAACCGCTGGAGGAAAACGGGAATGTCTCATTTCACACCATAGAGCTATTTCCTTAGGGTATCTTATGTGCTTTA